CTCCTCCTCCTCCTCCTCCTCCTCCTAAGTGGCTTTCGCCGCCTGGGGGGGGGGGTGGAACAAACCATGTTCTGTGGCGGCGCCGGGGGGGGAGGGGGGGGGGGGTTGACGTTCTCCGCGGCTCCGGCCGGGCGCTTGGCCCGGACCAGCCTCGTCTGGAGCCGGACCAGCAAGCTCCCCGTCTTCGCTGCAAAAGCCACGCCCCTTCCAGTAAGGGCCGGCTAGCCTGTAGGCGGAGCGGCTCGCTGCTGGTTTGTGCTGCTTTGCACGCACCGGCGGAGTTACTCGGGTCGGTTGTCTTCCAGTAAAGTTACGTGGCTCTTGGCTGGTGTCCAGAGATCAAGGAGTTTCTGCGGAATTTGATGCAACCCTGCAACGCGTTGCGCTAGCAGCGCCTGCCGCGGAGGAGAAGGCGAAGCGGTGACGCCGCCAGGACGGGAGGCAGCGGGCAGGAAATGTAACGGGGACAAAGATCTGCCCAACCCAGACCGAGTTGCGGGAAAGGAGGGAGGGGGCGGGCGGCGGAAGATGGAATTTCCCGCTGAGAATTACGTCTGCCCGAATATTTGTTTTTTGAAAAAACGGCTCTCCAGGAAATTAGGTGCGCACGGCTCCCCCTGTATATATGGAAACTAAGTTTTGCATAAGGAAAGATCTTCCTCCACATCGGCAGTTCAAAATAACTAAAATGGAGGGGATGAGGAAATATCGGGCAAGGCAGATGGATCCCGAAGTGTCTACAAAGCAATAGACCGCCTGGTTTTGTTTAAAAATGCCATCGTGGCAAAGGAACCGACGGTTCAAATCATAGTGGCTCGCGTGTCGCCTTAAGAAATTACACAGAGTTATTCTTTGGTTTTGAAGGCTGATTTGCCCCCCTTAGGTTTTCAGATGCCATAAGGTATGTGTGTTTAGAAACGGCGGGGGTCCTGCTGAAAATCACATGAACTGCATTTAGGCCCCCACCCCCAACGTGTGCTAGCTCACTGCATAGATCAAAACGAAAGCTGGGCATCTTGGAAACAGCATAAAGAGCAAGAAATATTCAGAACAAATACTGCCCATAAAGGAGTCTTGCTTTAAGTGAGTCTGAATTCCACGAAAAGGTGTTATCTGTTGGAGTTTTCAAAGGAATGTACTCCTCCACTCATCTTTGCTTTACAACTCCAAATGGTTAATATACTTTTTGAGTCAGGAAGTGTGCACAAGATGTGACATCAATACATCAAGCTCAGTGGGTAACATTTGCCATACAAGTACCTTCTTTGGTAGTTTGTAGCAGTAATGTAAAACCGCACTCTGCAACCCAGCTTTTCTCAACCTTGGCAGCTTGAAGACTCTGGACTTCAACTCCCTGGCTGGGGAATTCTGGAAGTTGAAGTCCACACGTCTTCAAGCTGCCAAGGTTGAGAAATGCTGCTGCAACCTGAGTCCTCTTGAGGTGTTGGGATTACAATTCCCACAGTTCCTGGGCAACACACACACACACACTCCTCCAAATTTGCTGCACTACCACCTATTGAATAGAATGAAAGACAGGGAATACCTCCAGGATTCTCACCTACTGATGTTCAGAGCTTGAATCCTGAGTCGCTCAAATCACTGACACCTTTGTGATTTCGATACATTTGTTAACAAGGCGATACAGGTAGCCTGTATCTGTGATACCTGAGGGCTTCAACCAGGTATGTTGGAGTTCAGAATTTGGATTTGATAATCACCTTCAACCATCATGGAGTTGGATTTTTTAATGGCTAAGTAGGCTATGTTAACCCAGAAATTGTTGCTTGTTCACCAAACTCTGGTTTGAACATTTCTTGATTTCATCAGTCTTGGATACTCCTGTATGGCTGATGTAGGTGAGAGGTTACTGACAGCGTCACTATAAAGCATGGCTTACTACCGATTTACTATCTTGTGTAATATAATTGCAAGAGATGCTTAAAAACAAGACTATAGGAGCTATAGCCAGACAAAATGAAATCTACATGACTATATGCCTATAATAATTACAAGTCATTTCATAGCACTTTGGGCTGATAGATTTTATCAATCATCTCAGTATTTTGTAGAATGGAAACTTAAGCGGAAATAAAATAGCTAACGCAACACCACTCAGTGAATCAATACATGGAAATCTGTGAGCCTTATCAAACAGTTCTTAATAGGGACATGACTCATGTTCTACATACTGAAGTTCCCAGGGTTTACTCCTGGCATCTCCAGGTAGATCTAGAAAAGGCTCCCGTTTAAACCTTAGGAGAACTGTTGCCAAACACTGAATACTAAGATCAGCAGAATGGAGGCTGGTGAGTTCTATTTAATTTCTTTTCATTGTTAGAAGACATCATTCAATACCCTTTGGACTGAAGTCTTTTGAACCTGGAGATTTGTCTTGAGTGCCATAATTGAACTGAGCACAAAGTCCATTCCTGATTACCTGAAACGTTCACAGAAAATAAGGCTTTTCTTGTTCAGTGGCTACTACTCATGATTACCATTGATTGACTTCAATTTCTGGAACAAAATGCCTCTGGACAGAAATTGTGGGGGCTCACAAATATCCTGCTAGTGAACTTTGGCCTATGTGGGATCAGAATGCTGAACTAGATAGAATTTGGTCTGATCCAGTAGACCTCATTCTGTAACCTTAGCTTTCTTCCTTTCAGCAGCCTTATGGGGGTGAGGTAAGATATTTTATTCTCAAACAGTTGGGAGTCTGAAAACCTTGTGGATGCACTGAAAGTCATTCAGAGACCTACCATCCTGATGATAACCTTAATGCCAGACTCGGTATAAGGCAGCTACGTATGAATTTCTTGAGCCTTACAATTGTTTGGAGGTTTCCTGATCTCTTGCATCTAAGTATGTTGTGGTTAGCCCAGCTTTACAACTATTTATTTAAAAGGTGGTTACCTGCGACTCCTAACCTCCAGGAAGAGAAAATTCTCACCTGCACTCACCTGGGTGAGTGA